TTTTCTGTCTGTCATCATGTACAGCACCCGGGGCTTCTCTTCCAAGAGGTCCGGAGATGCTCACTACCCCATCAGCGTTGTTATTTGGGAGAATGGTTTTCTGGTTGAAATCTGAAATTTCTTGGGTGGAAAATACATCCGTAGGGTTTGGATGATGCCAGGGGTTGCTTCCTCAGTATCTCAAGCCCAGGAAGATGAGTTAAATTAATTCTTGAAGGAAATGACATTGAACTTGTTTGCTGCTTTGATTCAGCCAGCCACAACAGTTAAAAACAAGGATATCAGAAAATTTGGGGGTAGTGTCTATGGTTCTGAAAAAGGAACAGTTCAGGCTGATGAGTAAGATCTAAGTTGTCCAGCTGCAGAAAGAGAAGGTGCCAGATGATTTTTCAAACCTGTTTATGATATTTATTTATTAAAAACTTTTTTCATTGTGCATTTATTTTAAGTATATAGGTTGAAAATGGCAGACAAAGCCTAAAATCTCCAGCTGCCCCCTCTTTTTTTTGTTGTTTTTGTTTTCTTTCTAAGTTTTAATTTAAATTCCAGTTAGTTAATATTAGTGTAATATTAGTTTCAGGTATAGAATTCAGTGATTCGACACTTCGATACAGCACCCGGTGCTCCTCACAACAGGTGCCCTCCTTAATCCCTGTTATTTGTGATCTTTTAAAGATGCAATAAAAGCTGTAATGATTTGGGGCTTTTTTGTTAAAAAAAAAAACACCTTTTTTTAATGTTTTATTTAGTTTTGAGAGAGAGAGAGAGCACGAACCAGCAAGAGCGCGCAAGGGAGGGGTAGAGAGAGAGGGAGACGCAGGATCCAGAACATCTCCAGGCTCTGAGCTGTCTGCACAGAGCCTGATGAAGGGCTTGAACCCTTATGATCTCCTTGAACCGGGAGATCATGACCTGAGTTGGAAGTCGGATGCTTAACCAACTGAGCCACCCAGGCATGGGGCTTTTTCCTAAACCAGTAATTCTTCCCAACTGTTTGACAAGGAAACCATTCAGAAGCTAAAAAACAAACAAACAAACAAAAAAAACCCCTCTAGCCCCTCCCCCCAAAAGGACACAATGTAGCAAGTATGTCAAAATTATAATAACTGAATCTGGGTGATGGGCATATGGAACTTCTTTATACTACATACTTCTTTTGTGTATGTTTGTAAACTTTCATAATAAAACGTTTTTGAGAAGCTCTTGGGTCTTTGGAGGGATGAGTGTAGGGGGTGGTTCTTTAGGGTCTTTGCGGCTGGGATTCTCTTAGCCCCTCTCCCCTGGCACTCTTCAGGGGATGTGGTGATTCGCACCAGAAATAGAGCCACTGTCAAAGTCAGGAATGAGTCCAAGAAGGAGGCTCGGTGTTGCCTCTTTATTTAAATGTCCACAGTCATTTGCAAATAATACAGAGTCTCTCTCAGGTACAAAGTTCTAAGCATATCAGTTAAATTAAGCTTATTAATCTTCCAAACCCTGTCTGTGTTTATTCTGTACGTGCCCGGTCTGCCAAAGAAGGAGAGTGGCGTTTTGAAGTCCTCCCCGACAGTTGTGGTTTTGGCCGCTTTCTCCTTGTACTTCTCAGTTTGGGGCTTAAACAAAAAAAACATTTTAAATTTTGAAATAATTTCAGACTTACAGAAAGGTCGAAAAAAATGTAGTGCAAAGAATTCCTGATAGTCTTCACATAAGTTGCACAAATGTTAACATTTTACTGTGTGCAATTATCGTTTATTCTCTATCTGTATCCGTGTTATAATTATCTTTTTTGGAACTATTTGAAAGAAAGTAAGTCGCAGACAGGATGCCCCTTTACCCTTGAATACTTGAGCATGTATTTCCTCAACACAAGGACATTTTCTATAATCAATAGTGATATCAAAATCATGAAATTAATATCGTTATAGTACTGTTACCTAATCTACAAAACTTACTCAAATTTCACCAATTGTCCCACTCATTTCCCTTATAAGCCAAATAGAAATTATTATTTTGTAACCTAGGATCCAATCCAAGATCACCCATGAAATTGTCATGTCTCTTTAGTCTCTAATCTGAGAACATCCCTTTGGTGTTGTCTGTTGGGATCAGACATTTTTGAGGAGTACAAGCCGGTGATTTGCAGAATTTTCTCTATTTTAGTTTTATGTGCTGTTCTCTCATGATAGATTTAGGTTACTCATTTGGGGCAAGAATACCAGAGACGTGATGTTGCGACCACCTTCTTAGTGCAACATGAATCAGGTACCTTATGTCCCTTTTCCCATTCCTGGTGCTGTTCACTGTGATTCCTTGATTAAGACGGTGTCTTCCGGGTTACCTCACCGTCTTTCCCTTGGAAATCAATGAATATCTTGTGGGCAGATGTTTTGAGGCTATGTAAATATCCTTTTTGTCACTAAACTTTCACCACCTAGTTTTATCATCCACTGATGATTTTTGCCTAAAACGTTTGTTACCATGATGGTTACCAAATGGTGCTTTAAAAAAAAAAATTTTTTTTAATGTTTATTTAATTTTTGAGAGAGGGAGAGAGACAGAGTGCAAGGGTGGTGGGCAGAAAGAGAGGAAGACACAGAACCCGAAGCAGGCTCTAGCCTCTGAGCTTTCGTTCGGCACAGAGCCCAACGCAGGGCTCGAACTCACAGACTGAGAGATCATGACCTGAGCTGAAGTCGGAAGCCCAACCAACTGAGCCACCCAGGCGCCCCCCAAATGGTACATTTTAAATCCTGACTGGCGTGTTTTGATAGTCTCTTGTCAGCAGCTTGCAGTCCGTCTCATGTCTTTCTCGTTGAGAAGCACAGTGACTTTCTGGCAGAGAGCAGCTGTCCTTCAGCATCGGTCTGGGCATGTGCCGGGGCGCATCCCGCTTCTCCCTGGAGAAGACCTGGCCGGGTCCAGTTCTCGCCCCTCCTGTGCAGTTCGAGCGTGGGCTGCCTCGGCCCCAGTACCGGTCTGCAGCCTTGCAGCGATGTCTGGGTATTGGCAGTGGCTTCGTGTGACGTCTGTGACACGGGTGATAGCATATCAACGAGAGCAAACTAGCTGAGGCTGCTTCTTTCATGAGGATCTGTGGCATGGTAGCATGTCGTGGATTTCCATCTCGCGGGGTCCAGGGAAGATTTGTTCATTTCGTTAAATGGGGCGTAAAGGAGCATGTTTCCGTGCTAAAGGGAAAGAGTCCGCAGAGATTACTGGTTGGGACAGAGGGGACTCGTTGGGATCCTTGAGGAGGTAGGCTTGGTGGTAGGATTAGCTCTGGGCAAGAGGAAGGACATTTCTTTTAGGGAAGACACTGGAAGAAGGGAAGTGTGCATGAAGTGAGTACCACTGTTTTTGCACATTACGAGCAGCACAGATGTTAAGGAGTTATTATTGCCTGATGGCCTCATTTTTATTTATGAAACAAGTGAGGTCATATCCTAGGAGTGAGGGGTATAAACCTTGGGGGCCTCATTGAATAGGGAGAGTTGCGGGGGATAAGAGCTGCCTGGGGCTTACAGAAGGATTTCCAAGCAGCCGGTGGTGGAGACCATGAGTGCTTCGTGGCCTCAGTCTACAAAATTGTGTGATTTTCTCCCACGGGGCCCAGCAGCCCAGGTGTAGAAGCATAGGAAATGGACAGTCGCGTTGATGAGGGCGTATAATTTGCCCTGCCTCGTGTTGGCAAAGGCCAGGGAGGGAGGCGGGAGAGCAGAAGGTGGAATGAGATGGTGGCACTTTGTCTGGAGAGGTGGTTCGTACAAGATGGGAGAGGTGGGTGGTGAATTGGGAAGAAAGAAGAGTGAACGGATTGGAAGTCAGAGAATTTTAAGAAGAGGAGGAAGGCTTCTAGTGAGCTGGCAGGCTGGGTATATCGGTCAGAGAGTAGGATGTTGGAGTTCGGCATTTCCATGGCGGGACAGTTCTGGCTGATGAGGGGCTGGAATGCCGTGGGGTGGAGGCGAAAATCACAGGGTTGTAGCAGAACTTGTTGAAGTTGCTAGCTGGGTTATTTACGTGGCCGTTGACGCCAGGTTGATGGCAGGACACTGGTGGAGGGGGATGACCATGTTCGGGTGTTCAGGGTGGTGCTGGAGTGTCAGAGAAGGAGGTGGAGTTGAGCAGGAATGAAGCGTGACGGCAGCATGGAGGTTTGTCCGCCAGGGGATCAGGAAGTGTGCTGGCACCGGCTGTCTCCAAGCCTCTAACGATGCCTTGAAGCTAGTGGAGAGAGGCATTTGCTCGAGTTTCCAAACCAAGATTGGTCGTCAGAGTCTTGGCTTACATTATTTCTTCTTCCTGTAGCCCCTTCTCTGCCTGGCTAACTCCTGCAGGCCCTTTAAGAGTGAGATCACTTCAGGGGCGCCTGGGTGGCTCAGTTGGCTAAGCGTCCGACTTCAACTCAGGTCACGATCTCGCGGTCTGTGAGTTCGAGCCCCGCGTCAGGCTCTGGGCTGACGGCTCAGAGCCTGGAGCCTGCTTCGGATTCTGTCTCTCCCTCTCTCTCTGCCCCTCCCCCGTTCATGCTCTGTCTCTCTCTGTC